AATTGTCTTGTCCGTATAGATAGATAATGTCTACATATATGCTCATAAACTCAGTAAATAAGGATAGACGAAATGTTCTATAGGGATGTGTAAATGGTGACATATCAGATGGTGATTTGTACTTTTTCCCTCAAGAAAATTCCATCGTTTAGAACGTTATGTACTCCTTTGTTTTTAGTCCATTGTCATGTCCTTGTTAACCCCGACTCAGAATGTTACGTACTCTTTTGTTTCTGGTCCATTTTCATGTCCTTGTTAATAGGGGCAGAGCACCCCGAGCCAAGGCGACTGCCCGTGCCAAGTTCGTCGAAAAAAAATGAATATATATTGAGTGGTTGTTCGCATGGATCTGCTCCAGCTCACTCGAATTCCTGGATCCGTCCCTACTTGTCAATCTTAGTTTATACAATCACATCTGCATAGAGGTATAAAGTTCTATGGCAGATATTGCTAAAACCATCGGGCAAATTCGTCAAGTTTCAAATCATTGCTGGAGGGTGATTGTGTAGAGTGAAATCTCAATCGAGATAAAAGAGCCCAAAAAATCCCACATCACACATGAAATAATATGAATTGTATCTTTCATTGCTAGGCTAATTTTAGCTCGTGAGTTTATATCTAATTGAACATTCTCTCATTACAAAGTCGATGTCGATTTAAGGCATCCTTATGAGATAGCCCTAGTTGCGGACAGGACGACCTGACATGACTACTTTCAATAGAAGATTGGTTCTGTGAAGTCATCTAAATGAGAATATGGACAGTTATGGATGTCAATTTGACAAGTGTGAAATAAAATGACTGATTGTATTGCACCAAAAAGCGAACTGGGCTAACGACCTTCAACGTCGATGGTCGTGGACTGTTCTATTCTTAGTTAACGTGAGAATAAATGGCAATCCATCTTAGAGGAAATTACTCAAGCTACCCTTTTTATCCATCAATCCATGCGGTCTAGATTCTTGTTACAAGGAATGAGAAATTAAGGGTGGGTTTGATTTGTTGTTTATTTTCAATTTTGCAAAATGAATTTTTGAAAACAAAAATAAATTTATAAAATAAAATTCAAAACACATTTTTGATGTTTTGGGTGTATTCGGTGAAAATTCTGAAAACAATTAACCGATGGAAAACAAGAGTTTATATAAAATAAAGTAAAAAATAGAATCGATAAATTCTGAATAATAAAAATGCAGTAAATGGGTTAAAATTCTAGATCCGACCCATATCCAACTAACCCTGAACTTAGGGCCCGTTCGGTAGAGATTAAAATCAGATTAAAATTGAAAAAATAGCCGTTATTGTTAACTTTTATTAGACGAGTAGGACCCAATAACGGCCATATTTTCAATTTTAATTGGAATTTAATCCCTACCGAACGGGGCCTTAGCCGTCCATATACGACAAAATTATCCGGCTACGCGCCACCACAAAATGAACTCTAAGGGTGCGTTTGATTATAAGGGTAGAAAATGAGTGGAAACAAAATGATTTCTAGGAAAAATAATTGCCTAGAAAATATTTTGTAGGGAATTATTAATTAAGTGTGTTTGATTGATATAATTTTCCACCCGAAATTTTTTTGAAAATTTGGATTTTTTTTGTTCACGTTTGGCTTTATTTCACATAGAAATTATCCATTAAAATGAATTTTTTTTTTTTTTACAATTTGTTATGAAATTTGTTAATATTGTCAAAAAGTAAAAAAAAAAATATATATAT